AGGCTGAGCAGCCTAGGGCGCCACGGCCGGGCTGGGGGGAGCCGCGGGGGTCCCCGTCCCCGGCTGGTCTCTGTACCCCTCTTCCCTGCCTCCCTCTGTCCGCCCTCCTCCAACCTTAGTGCGGCTCCGCTTCCTCTGCCCCGGCCCTGCTCCGCTCCTCCGTGCAACCCCTGTCCCTCCTCCGACCGCGGGCGCCCTGCCGCCCCACTTCCCCTCCATCTCCTCTGGCCCCCTTTGTCCCCTTCCATCCCAAGTCCTTCACCGTCCCCTCCGTCCCCCTCAGTCCTCAGGCCCAAGGCTGCGACTTGAGGGGACGGAGCAGCTGCACGGGGATGGCGAGGGGCAGGGAGGCCGCCCCAGAGGGTCCCGCGCGCCGAGTCAGCGGGACACGCCGCAGGTCCAGGTCCGAGGGCCCTCCTTCAGCCCCCCGCACAGGGGCAGCGGACACATCGGCGCGCCCGAGGACCTGCCCAACCTGCAGGAAAGGGGCAGAAGAGCCTGGAAGACCCATGTTGGATCTGCTGGCTCTTCAGGGGGTGCCTTAGGATAAAGTGTAAATTTCACACTCTGATTCTGTGGGAATGAATTTTGCCTTTAAAAAATAAACGAGCGTCCCATAACTAACTGTTCTCCGTGGAGTCCGGGACCAGAAGAGTGCCCACACCAGCCGTGTACTTGTTACAAATGTAACTTCCAGCATCCAGGGCCCCCAAACCTACAGAATCAGAAGCTGAGGGGTGGGGGCTGTGTGGGCTGTGGGCTGTGGCAGCCATAGTGTTTGAACAAGGCCCCCAGGTGAATCTGTTGCCCAGGAAAGTTTCCAAAGCAGACACCCCTATAAAATGTCCTTTTACTTGTTACATACCAAGCAACAGCCCTCATTCTAAGAAGATTCAGAGTCTACTTCTAATTGGGAGAAATCTGTTTTATCTTGTAGAGCTGCAATCTCAGAGAATCCTCACCAAGGTTAACAAGGAGGCTTCTCCCTCTGTGAATGTGTAAACAATTTAAATTAGGTTGAAGCTGACATTCAGTGTGTGTGTGTTTCATATAAATGATCTCCTAAAATATAATGTTCATTTTCAAGAAAAACGGCAAGACCAGGAAGAATGTGCATTTCAAATTCAAAGTGGAAAACTACTTCCATTCTTATTTCAAAATAGAGTTTAATGAACATATTTTTAAATAAAGTATTTTCTAATGGAGCATGTAATAGGATTTTGAGAGGATTTTGTGAGATTTTAGCAGCTAAAACAGCAGAGGAGATCTAGGTTAGGGCCCTGTCAGACTCCAGGCAGGGGCCTTTGTGAATCAGACGTTAGGGAAGGTTATCTTATTGTACCTATTACATAGTCTCTGAAGATGATCCAAAATGAATGGATAAAAATGATCATTGGCCTGTGTCTGATTTTACCCAGAGACAAAGAGTATGACTCCACAAGTGACATGAGCACCTTGAGTCTGTTTCGGGGAACAGAAATGGTTTGGCCTTGAACCATTCATAGACTGAGCCCCGGTGGCCAGCTGCTGGGCGTATTTGGGGTATGATTCCGAGTGTGGTTATATTGGGGATGGGGTTTTCTCAGTAACTAGCGGTAAGTACCAAAGGAAGCAAGAATCTGTTGACTATGCAAGTGAAGGCCAGCATCCTAGACCACTTGGAGGAGAGTGAGGTGGCGAGGAGACAGGGGTGTTCCCCAAGTCACAGTGTCCTGATGGCTTTCTTGTGCATTGCATGTGGGTGTCAGGGTTAGGGTACCCTTATTTACCTTTTGGATAATTAATTTTTCATGGTCTTACTAATTTTTCTTTATCGCCATTCCTACAGAATGTAAATTCGTCCTGGCCTCTTACAGGCACTGACCCATACTTAGAAGATCGTAGAGTTTGTTGTTAAAATAGTGAGCCTAGCGCAAACTTGCAGCTGTTGACAGCTGAGTACTGGGGATGCCACGTGCAGCGTGATGACCACAGCTAATGCTGCCTTTCAGTAAACGAGAAGGTTGTTAAGAGAGCAAATCCTGAGCGTTCCCATCACGAGATTTTTCCTCTTTATTTTTCCCTTCTTTAAAAAAAAAAAAAAAAAAGGTATCTATATGAGAATATGGATGTTAGATGAACTTACTGTAGTAATCATCTCACACTATATGTAAATCAAACCACCATGCTGTGTGCTTTAAACTTACACAGTAATTTATGGCAATTATTTCTCAGTATAACCAGAAAAAAACAGTGAACTTAATTGGACATAATACAGATACACTCAAAATGGTAATTTTTAGAAAAAATAAAAAGGCACAAAAACAGATTTGTACAGTACACTGAATTTCAAAGAGAATAAATCCTATGACTTCCTGCTGCACCCAATAGCTACTCAACACATGTGATTCATACCCTGTGACTGGCCAGGTAACTGAGATTCATACATGCACGAAACAGGTGAAAGTCCCCGTCATGCGGGGAGGCAGGAGATTGTCGTAGTCTTAAAAAAAGGGGGCATTGCCCCTCCTTGTGTATGTCACTATTTGGTGGGGGTATAGCGTCAGCTTCCTATGTGAAAACATACGCTGGGATCTGAGCAAAAGCGCCTGATTGTTAGAAAGATCAAAGACAAACCGCAGGAGGAGAGAGTCGTTCAGAGCGGGGACGGGCTTCGGTTATCTGCACGACCTATGTGGCCTTGGTCACATCCTTTAAGGAGGAGATAAAATGGCCTAGTACAGTCAGTTGGGTAAAACTGAAAGAGATTAAAATCCCCGATTCATGACATATAGTCATCAGTCAATAAACCGAAAGCAGTATTCACTTATTCAACATGCATCCATTTCTAAGTGTGCTGTTGATATTTTATAATTCCCTAAAAAAAGAAAGAAAGAAAGAAAGAAAGAAAGAAAGAAAGAAAGAAAGAAAGAAAGAAAGAAAGAAAGAAAGAAAGAAAGAAAGAAAGAAAGAAAGAAAAAGATACGTGAACACAGA